GACATGATGCAGAGAATGCTGTTCACACTTTACTAGCACTTGATCTTCTCAGTGATTGATTATGTCTCTAAGAGTCAGATAGAGAAACTGGAGCACATACAGAATGAAGCTATGTGGGTGATCCTGGGATGTATGAGACACCCCAATTGTGTGCATGTGATACATCCTTGCAATGCCGACTCTTGCAAATAGGCTGAAGGTGCTGCAGGCTAAATCATACCTAAGAGTAGCTGCAGACAAAGAACACCCTCTGTATGAAGCTTTGGCTGCAGGTAAGGGTAAGAGGCTGAAAAGAGAACTCATAGATGGCTCAAGCAGAAGACATAATAAGACAAGTATGCATGCTGGAGAACATTGGGCAAGGAAAGGAGTGGGTCAAAGTACCAGAGGAAAAGTCTGACTTGTGTAGGGTTCTGATCACATTGGGCCGTGAGTGCAGAGTGGCCAGCTGGTCCTGCGGAGGTGAAAGTCCAGGTGATCTGATTCTCTATACAGATGGTCTGGTGGTGAGAGGAAAGAGGATTGCCCAAGGGTTCTAGCAAAAGCCAATGAAAAAACTTTAGCGCAAGACAGCCTAGCATGAGAATAGGGGTGGAAGTAGTAACTGCAGCTCTCCGGTGGCTAGAACGACAAAATGCATACACATGTTGTAATTGCAACAGACTCTGAAAATGTGCTGAGAAAGGTGAAGACAGGGATGCTTTGAGGTCACGGGTGGTGAGCATACTTTGGATCTTTTCTCCGAGCCATGCCGTATTGGAACTCTGCGCTGGCTGCTGAAGATGAGGATGGAGCATGCATGGGAATGCCTTGAGTGCTGTGATTTTAATTCTTGACTCAACTAACACTGCAATTAAATGATCAAATTTCCTTTAAAATTCACAAATCATAATACAATGATTACAAAACCTACCAGAATCCAACAGACGTTACAGTTAAACAAAACAGTGTAATAATCAATGTTTCCAATGGAATCAGTTGAAAGAACCACCCAATAATCAGACTGAAGAAGTCTGTAATGTAAATGTGCATACGTGTTTTGAATACTCTGTGTGCTCAGTAATTTGACCCTGCAACATGAATACCAAATATACTGCTATCAACAGGCATCTGGTTTCACTGACTTATTATATAGATGGAATGAGAACATATGTCACCCAGGTTCTTCAGAAAAAGCTTTCCGCCAACTGAGATGAAGGTAGGCATTTATCCCAGAATAAGTCTAATGCAACAGGGACTGGAGCAGCAGAACTAACACCTCTCACTTAAGAATATTTCCAGAAATGGCAACTGGAATGTTAGAACTATGTCTGGATTGAAAAAGGAAGCACAATTGGTAGGAGAAATGTAGTATTACAACATCATATAGCAGGTCCGTTACTCTCATCACAGTATGTCCGAAGAAACTTGGTCTCTCACTAGCTCTCCTGCCTCGTGTACTTTCATATTCAAGGAGTCTTGTGCCCAACTTCGTGCTGGTCAGCTCCTGTTCCTCTTTCCTGGTAATATGCCACTGCTATTATTTTCCCAATCCGCTATGAAATGTGCATAACCAAAGTGTATCAGCTTTCGAGTCAAGATACTGTTTATTAACCATCTTCCTTGATGTTCAGATCTTTTAAAATGTCAGTATTTCTTCTATTCTTTGTTCATGGTATTCTGAGAATCTGTCTATAGCCTTTCAGCTCAAAAGCAGGTACTATTACATGATTAGCACTTTTAGATGATGGGAAATATGAAGGCAGAGGGCAGGCAAACATGCACACACACAACTAATAAAGTGTGCTATTCTCAAGCCATGCTGATGAAAATACCACTCAGAGGGAAGAAGTGACTCTACTGTTATCTGAAAAGCAAAGAAAGTATTAATAGAACAGGAAGCAGTCAATTCTGGAATAAACATAGCAGCAGTTAAAAGTACAAACAAGAAAGAACAAAAAGGAGAAAAAGTAGTATACATGACAAATCAGAGAATAAATGTTACAAGAAACTTCAAAGTACCAATGAAATAACTATATATAAAAAATTGTTATGGGTAAGCGTAATGCCAAGATAAGATTGGATAATATGGTTTACGAAAAGATCACGGGGAAACACAGAGTTGGGGTAATTATTCACACATTTTAAGCAGTAAATTTATAAATGGGCAAAGTGTATTTCCACATAAATGTAAGTCCAGCAAAGTAAAATCCTACTACTGATCATTTCCATATATTCACCAGAAATGTATACCAACTCTACATAAAATATAAGTTTTCAGAGGTGTAGATGCAGATTCAGAACAGTACCTACTGACAGTGAAATTAAGTTTAAACTTAAGAGATACCTAACATCAGTGCTGCTTAACAGAACATTTGTGATGAGTATCAGCACCTTTTCAGACACTTTGTGGTGGGCACTGGCACCCTGGATAAACTCAGTAGCTAGCAGATCTGTCATTAAATTCAGCCCCAGAACTAAATAATTAGCCCTTTTACAGCTTCTAGTGGACCAAAGAAACTCCAACATGTGAGAAAAATAAACACTGGCCACATACTCAACAAAGCTTTAGTAGTATAAATAGAAAAATCCTTTCTCTGAAACCTAAAGTAATAGAAACAGAGAGAGACCTGGAAAAAAAAATTCAGAAAATTAGAGAGAGATTAATAACAATAGAACAGGCAGTGAGTTATAGAAGCAAAAGATTCAAAATTATTTAGTCAACTGGCTGAATTGGCTTATGCTCCATTAGGGAACAAAAGGCATAAGAAGAAGACAAGAACATATGACTTTCAGTAATTACTTTTAGCAGCATATCCTGATATTTCTAATATACATATAAGACATTTTTGGCTTATAAAGGTAACACAAAATAAATATAGAAGAATACAAAATAACTCAAAATCTATTCAGGAGCTGAAATAGTCAAAACTTACTACCTTTACCAATGTGGAGAGAACACAAATAAGATGGTCTTACAAATGTAATGAACAAAAATGAAAAAAAAAAAAAAAAACAATTCCAGCAATGGAAAAGATTTTTGATAACTCAATCTAATATTTTCCAACATGCACTTCCAATTCATACTTGACTTCAGCTCCTTCATTCTACGGTTCAGCACTTAATCAGAATTATGTGTGGTTGAAGTTTATAATGCTACTTTGATGTACACATGAACAGTACATATGGCAACAAACAGCCTGGACACTTAGCTTTTCTCAATATGAATGTCATAAACATTTGCTGAAACTGGAGATATGGGTAAATGAGACTGATATACAGTTATCAGCACATGGCTGCAGTAGTTTCTTCAGCATCATAACAAAAAACTGGCATCACAGTCGCTCTCCTTTGTCAACAGAACATGAAATGGTTCTACACAGAATTGTGGAAGTACTGCCTAGAATAAAGAGATCACATTTACCATCAGTACTCAAATCTGGCAAAACTACAGTTAATAGGAACATCAGAATTATTGACTTCCACGGAGCAGAAATGTTTTGCCCAAAAGCTGGCAACCAAGATATAGATGGATACATCATCATCTTCCTTGTCCAGTGTGTTATGATGCCAGGGTTTGCTTGATGTTTTTAGCAGCAACATCAGGGAAATACAATTTTTTTTTCAGATTTCAGACTGGTTGTATACTGGATACTTTGTTGCGTAGCTGGTGAAAATTAAAAAAAAGAACAAGCTTTACTGGACTAAAGGGAACTGATCTATGTCCCATAATGCTTCTGAGATGATGTTTTTCCTAGTAACTTCAAGTCAAACTAACTATTTCAGGCAAGTCTCAGCTGAACCACAAGAACCTCTGATTGAAAACTGATGCAAAACTATTATGACTGCAACAGCATGGTTTCTTTGACTGGTGGCACTGCAAGTAGAAGCTGCCATCTCATTTTACAACAGCCATTGTTTCTGACTAGAATGTGTCAAAAGAAAGTGAAAGATTCATGTTTTTTTTTTTTAATGATGTCTTACTCTGTTGACATTTTATCTGAGATGTTTTTAGCAGCATCATCAGGGAAATACAATTTTATCGTCTGACTCATTCTCATGATACAGAAATGTGAGCACCACAGAACTCATACAGTGCTTCCAATGAAGCCATGCATTATCAGAAGTCTCTAGATAATGCTCCCAGAAGGCAATGCAAGGACAAGTAAGAACTATGTGAGCATATAAAAAAGTTGAAAAACTTGTCACAATTAGCCACAAAAAAAGTACCTAACATCAACAGCATTTTATATTATGCATTGTCAGCATTCTTGAAATTAGTGAACTCAAATAAAGGTGAGAGGAAACTTGACACTCAACATTACAAAGTATGCAATTTAGTGGCAAGGATATTTCTAGCATGTGAAAAATGGTGATAGAAACACGTTATCTTCAAGAGTAAATATTTCAAATATCAGTTCAAACACAGACCTTATCTTCAATATGTTGTAGTCTAGCTAAGAGGGAAAAAAACAGTGCACATCCCAGTGATTGTTCAGATCAATAACATATTATTGTGTCAGAACTGTGAAGAAAATTGAACAAAATATGACAACATATTAATTATAAATATGATCACAGGTCATCACAATATGGATTTTAAGAAAAGTGAAAAAAAAAAAAAAAGGAAAAAGGAGGAAAAACAAATAAACATTTTCCTGAAAGGGCAGAAAGGGTTCATCAGAACTACTACTATTTATGAACGGCCTTCAATATGAAGATCTGCACTAACACTCAAGTTGAAACATGGCTTCAGATGCAGGCATAGACAGACACTTCAGCCTTGGAGAATGCTTATATGTTTTACCGGTAACCGCATTTAAAAAAAAAAGAAGACATGTTTGAATACGTAAACAATCACTATGATTCTGCGACTTTCTATGCCGAAATGCATGTGCATCTGTCACTGAAACATATGCTGAGGGATACACAATCAATCCATTACATATAACATGCCTCAAGTCAAAAAATGTGTTGAGATTAAAATATGAGTTATAAAATGGTAATAATTAAAATTATAGTTAAGACTTTGAGAGTGGCTTCGTGTTTGAATTTTTGGCATCCTTTCTGGGTGGCATTCTTTCATTCATCTTATCCAGGCATTTAGCTTCCTCGAACCCACTGATCTTGTGATTGGGCGAGAATCCACTCAAAGCTGTTAGGAGACAAAATTATATTGAGTCGTGTACCACTGCACATGCAACACAAGGCCCTATTACATTTACTCCTTACACACAAAAATTCTAGCTTATTTCATTATTCACTGCATACACTTCCCCTTATGGGTTTCATGGAAAGAGGGGGGGGGGGGGGGGGAATGATGCTCTCATCAGAACTAGCCCATTTTCATATATTTTCCTATCCGAGGTGACTCTGCTGTCCTGTGTCACCAGTAAGGTTGAAACTGTTTCTTCATCCAGAAATGATTTCTATTAGTGAGCCACTGTGACAATTAACACATTTCCCCAAGATGAATAATGTATCCGAGCCCATGAGGTTCATTGCTGCAGATATCACCCGCCTCCATTCATCTCTCTGGTTGGCCTTCTCTTTCCATTTGGTGACACTAAGTGTTTGCAGGTCTGTCTGGACATTCTCTCACCATGTTTTTCTTCGTCTGCCTCGTGGTCTACGACCATTCATCTCCATGTGTTTACAGTTTTTATTTCTCTTTCTTCTGACACTCTTTCAATATGTCCCAACTATTTCAGTCTATTAGCTCTCATGATGCCAGTGATCTGTGGTGATTTAAACAGATTATGAATTTCGTTATTGCTTCTCACTCTCCATTCCTCACTGTTTGCATCTTTGATGGGTGTATCTTGATTTTGGGACCAGACATTTCGAAAAATAATAATGATTGCATAAGTTATCTACTGCCATTGTATAAGACATTCAGTTTTTAAACACCTTATTTTGGGAAAACAGGTGCGTCTTATACTTGGGAAAACATGGCAAATGGAAAAAGTATTTCAGTTTATGAGACAGCCTTCTCTGATGTCTGTAATACACTGTCACTGTGTAACCACAAGCCAAAACTTCCTCAACATCTATTTTGGAAGGCTGTAATTGATCTAATGTCCTAAAGTGCTGTGATTCTGTTCCCTCAAAGCATGGTATTGAGTTTGGTTGTGTTAACTAAATGGAAACCATATTTATGATCCCTAAATGGACACCATATTTATGAGTTTCTTAGAATTTTATGAACTGGACAGAAGCGAGAAAGGCTAATTGGAACTTATTTTCATTTTGAATATGTGAAGATAAAATGTTGCAGTCATTCCTAACAATTATCAGAGCAAATAGTACAACAGTTTAAAAAAATGATAGCCAAGAATACAATGTCATTAATACAAAGTTCTTTCTATTCTAGACAAGAAACCATGAATCTAGCATGGCTTAGTAAGCTGACTCACTTACCACTGCTAAGAGTGTCCTTTCCACCGGACAAAGCTCCAAGGGGAAGCAACCCATTTGGTGTAAGACCCTTCAACTGCAGCACACTTTCACTCTCCTCTCTGCAATAATGAATTTAAAAAAAAAATGGTATAAGGAATTTGTTTACATTACATTCTTCATGTAGCTGATCCTTTGTAGAAGTCTGCTCTCAATCACACCCAAAACAAAACTTCCTCATTCATCAACTGCACAAGCTCCCACATTTTCATGCACAAGGTGTCCTCATGCTGCTAACCCCTGATCTTCTTCAAGGAACCATTTTTTCCTTTAATGTTTGCTTCTATTCTACCGTGAAGTTCAACAGGGCCAAAGTATTTCAGTTTTCTGGTCATGATGCTGTTTATGAGCCAGTTTTCTTCAATTTTCAGATCTTGTATTATGTCAGTTCTTCTTTGCATTCACCAGCTGTCAACTCTGGCAGTTAGTCTTGTTCTAGAACCAGCTGTCAACTCTGGCAGTTAGTCTTGTTCTAGAACCAGGGTTTTAGAGATCTGTATGCACAAAATTGGTTCCGCACCTCCCAGGTAGATGCATTCTGAGTTAAGGAAATATCCCTAATTAGTCAACTCTTATGACATGCTTGTTAGGGGGACAGTGCCCCCCCCCCCCCCCCATGGAGCCATAGAACCCATACAGGGTATTTTTAGTCTTCTTCATTCAGAGTATTCTAAGAATTTGTGTCACGTTCAAATTTAAAGACCCTAATTTTCTCCTCTAGTGATTACAATCTGTTGTAAGTAAAGAGCTGTCAAAGGTTAAATCAATCATTTTTGTCTGATTTTTACTTACTAATTTGTGTTTTGGTTTGTGCTGTACATTCTCAATTCTTTTTAACCTCTGCATTACTATGACCAATCATTCTTATGAGTTGGACTATCTTCACAGCACTCCGGACACATCCATAGGTGCTCAGATTCCCCCTCAATATGTTTATCAATGGCGAGCGGTTAATAGTGCCAGTCCTATGCTGGTTGACAAGACTTCGAGTGCATCCGGTGTGCTTCTCATGCTTAGCTGTGCCAAGCTTTACTACGAATTCTCGTATTCTTAGCAGTGATGTGGACACATTGCTTCCAAAATCACTGGAACGTCTTCTTTCTCTAAGGGCACTGACAATGTCTGCGTGATCCATGGGCCTGCCAGTCTATCAAGCAAAAGCAGACTCTGCTCAATATTAGCGGCGGCCAGGACCCTGATTGCTGACAGGCCTTTGCTGCTTTAGTTATAAAATGGTCAACATGTTTTTTAAAGGACAGGCTGTGATCAAACCTCATTCCGAGGTAGGTCATCAGATTTGTAACCTCACTCCGAGGTATGTCATCAGATTTGTAACGTCACTGCGAGGTATGTCATCAGACTTGTAACCTCACTCCGAGGTATGTCATCAGACTTGTAAACTCACTCCGAGGTATGTCATCAGACTTGTAACCTCACTTCGAGATATGTCATCAGATTTGTAACCTCACTCCGAGGTATGTCATCAGATTTGTTCTTGTCAACATTTTTTCGCTTGTCATTATCATCAATCAGCAGGTCCTTTACAGAATGTCGCTCTCTCAACAGCATGCCTGAAAATGTCTCTCTAGCCAATTCTCCAGCCCTATGTGCTTTCACAGTCAAGGCATCTTCAATGTTATTGCTACATGTTCTAAAAACCTCCACCATCGTTCTCTCCAGGCAACAGTGACGTTTAACACAGCAAAAATACTTGTTTTTTTTGGGGGGGGGGGGGGGAGAGAGAAGATGCTGTTGATAAACCAATTCTCCTCGATATTCAAATCCTGCTGCTGGATGCCAATGTTTTTCTTCCTGGTTCACAGTAGTCTAAGAATTTTTCTGCTATGACCAATCACTTTCTGGTTTATTTTAAAAACTTGTCTATAAGGGTTCTTAGTCATGACATATATTTCTCCACTGTACTCCCTCCATTTTTCTAACTTTTCTTTCTATTTTGCCATATCTATCATTTATTACACGGTAGTGGCTGAAATTACTTTTTTAATGTTTTCATTTTTCAGTGATTCTGAATATTTTGTTCTATCAGTATTTGCTGTAGTTTACTACTTCTGTTAGCTGAACCTCTTTCTGGGTAGTTATTTTTTTTTTCTCTGTATCTTGTATCTTTTTTTTTTTGGTTCACTAGATATTAATGTCTGCTTGTAAAAGTAAGTAAAGCAACAGACCCTTCTCATGTCACTGGTGTATAAAGCATATGGTGCAAGAACAATATTATAACTCTCTGGGCAGCAAGAAACACATTATGTGTTGATTTCTAAATCATTTACCCATCCTCTACTACCAAATGAATTTAAAGATCTACTGGCACAAAATTTAGTGAACATCATGCCTGTAGCCTACATTTCCTAGTGTATTTCCTGGTACCCATTTCAGGTTAGAAAAGCCTGGGAGCCCATGATTTTCACAACCTCTTTCTTCAGATTTTGTAATGTCACTAGCAAAACTAATGTAAAATCCCCAAAGTGCATCTTAAAATGCAGATATCTGTGCATAAACTTAAATAATCATGTTGTTCCTTTCGCTGCAGTCTGAATGTGAAAGTTGGTCACTGACTAGACTGTACTACTGGTGCAGACTGCCACCGCTCACAGACTACTGAAATTCATGTCTACGATGAAGATGGCAGTTATAGGAATGCCTTATACAAAATTATTCACTAGGCGGATCAGTTCTGATTTCAGTATTTAAAGATTAGGAAATAGATAAAAAAAAGGAGAAACGAACAGAAAACCAAACCACACAGGCAGGGGCAGACACCAACACACCAGATAAAGCAACAACAACAAAAATGCAGAAGTCAAAGATACCAGGCAACCCAGCACTGACTGTCTACACAACAACAACTGACATAATGCTGGCTAGGTACAATTCTCTAGGCAGGAGCAAAGCTTAATTCCATATCAAAACAGGACCACAGACTGAAAAGTCATGCAGACAGAACTTGATGCTGTGCTCCTTGTGCACATGTAAACTGGCACAGTGTCTCAAAATTGCTACAAGTACTGAAAACTGCAGACTGGCCCATAGAAAACTATTTAGGAGTTTCACCAAGCTCAGCACAGCAACACATCCACACACACAAATCTGATTTTGTTGTTCTGTACACAATTACTAGAAAAACAATGAATGAGAAGAAGATAAACAAATGCAGTTACTTCAGATTTTTTTGTAAAATCCTAACCCAGATGACATCACAGGAAAGTCCAACATTTTATAGGATGGTTTAAGATTGGGTTTCCCGGCTTTCTGTTGCTTTTAACAATCCCAAAACATCGAAAACTGGCCCCAACCCCAACCCACCTACATCCAGTCCCACAAAAGAGTGCAGCCTAGGTCCCACGACTGCATGCAGCCTATCTCCACCCCCTGAAATATTAGACTGTCCTGTGACCTGTGGATTTCCCCCGTTTATGGTAGGATATTGAGAACACACACATTTTTTAAAAAGATGGGTTAGTTATCTGAATGTATACATTAAACCAGGACTAAATTTACTCAGGGATTGACATTTTATTGTGTGGGGATCATCCATGGGCCAAAGGCCTGAGCCCCAACTTAGAAAGATCATGAATACAACTGGCAATGATCAGAGGGCCACTTGCTAGGCCTCCAAGGGTCAAATCTGGCCTGTGGGCCACAAGGTGAACAGCCCGGCACTAAACAGTGACAATTTTACTGATTTAGTTTAACACATCACACACCTAAACAAACTAAATATTTCTGGTAATATTTGAATGACAGGCGCTCATAATTTTGTGATTTTTTTTTTCTCAACTGTCCATAGAAAAAACATTACACTAACAACAAAAATAGCAAAAGCATACCGCAGTACTGTAAAAACTCTGGCCATCTTTCCAATGGCTCGGATCTTGTTACGAATAACATCTTTTCTGGCAGCAACTGAAATAAAGGCAGATTTTTTTTTAAGATATGGCTTTCTCTAGTTTACTAAAGCTAAGTTATTATGTCAATACAAACTTCAAACAATTATATCATCAAAAACATACGAACGAATACATTTCAAAACTAATAAAATCAACTAAGAGGCAAAGAACCAATAGTCTGCAGACAAAGAAGCCAGATCTGTACAACGGCTGTGCACACAAATTCTAGATGAAGATTAAAGTTCAGGTATGGACAAACACCCAGAACTTTTCACCAGAGTTTACAGCCACAGAATGCTAGGAAAAAGAAGATGAACAATACAGCTGAAAATATGACCTCTGATTAGACATGCTGCTTCATATCACTACTGTTGTAATCAGACTCATGTTTTCTATCTGAAACTAATTCCATGTATGTATATTTTAAAACAGTGGCATGATCGTAAAACTGATGCCTTCCTTTAGCATGTAATAGTCATAACAAGGCATAATTCCCAACTATAGGAAAAATATCATGTGCAGGCACACATACTAAAAAATTTACAGTTTTGTTGTTGTTGCAAATATGCACAGAATATCTGATTTTTTATTTAAACTCCCATCACAGCAAAATACTAAATACTAGCAAAATAGTCAAAAAGGGATGTAAAACATGACCATAATTATGGGCATATTAGTTAGTCGACAGACTATCCTTATTGCATACTGGATCATTCAGTCCATAAGTGCTCAGCTCACTTCTTCAGTAAATTCCACTATGTGCAGCAGGTGACGACACCAGTTCTGTGTTGGTTTTATATTTTTCTTTGCTTTCTGCATGGCGCTCCTGCCTGACCACACCCTGTGCATATTCCTGAAATGCAATTTGTGGGTCTTTCACCATTCTTTGTGATGGAGGAATCAAAACACAATAAAGAGAGTCACTAACCTCATCAATTTGTAATGTCTGTATTTCAACAGAATCTTTGGAGCAGAATTTCGCAGTTAGTGAACAGAGGGATTTGTGTGTTAACCTGGGTAGACTACATATTCTCTGTGTATGTATGTGTGCATGTGTATATATCTATTTGATCACTGTCCTGTTGTGCCATTATGTCACAAAGGGCTCACAGTTTATTATTTCATTTCATTCTATCCTGTGCAATGCCTCTGTTATCATGGATGGAATTCAGTCCAGCACATTTAGCCTCTCAACAATGCTCATTTTAAGGTTTCTTTTGGGCATCTTCACTTCCGTACACCCATTATTTCCTATTTTAGTTCAATCTATTTACAGCCACTAATCTCACTGGAAGAGTAATTAGCTTTCACATATAGTAGATGGTTGTGAAAGTGATTTTAATGCTGCACTTGTTTATGTTTCCCTTTATTAACACACTTTCTGTTACTTTATTAACATCTTTCCCATGGAAGTTTCTGTAGATCTGAACCAGATAAGAAGTGTATTCCATAAATGGGACTTAACCTGCCTTGCTATTATTCTTCCAGCAATGTGACTCAGAGATTTTACACAACCGTATAGATGTCTGTGATATTTATTTTTATAGCTTCAAACCTGAGCTGCAAACTCCAAGCATTCATGAAGTCGTCACCAAACAGCCTGGTGAAGTTGACAAGAACCTATGCTCTACTGGGAGGTCAAAGGCAGAAGAAACAAAGCAGAAACATTTTGTATATCTTACCTTCTGCAGAATCAGCTTCCTCTTCTTCAGTAATCAGCTCATCATCAGAGCAAATGCTGAGTAAATTGACCAGCATTTCTGTGACTGAAATTAGAGAGTGTCAAATACTCATGTGTTCATGAAAAAATGTCAATGTGAACACCCCCTCCCAAGTGAGCGACCTCCGACTTCCTCACATTCCAAGTACTTACTGCTAATTCCATTCACCTTTAATTCCAGTAGCCATCACAATTATATGTACATATTTGAAACTCTTTTTGGGAAATTATTATTTCACTTCTGGAAATCCAACTAATAAATTTATGGCAAACTAGTCTTAAACTTCTTAACCTAAATAGGAAATATGTCGGTAGCAAAAGTTAAACATGGCGATTATTATATTAAAAAAGTGGCTTTACCTTTTTCTCCAACAAATGGCAAGGACCATGTAAACACGTCCATGAAATTTGGCAGCCAGTATGGATGTGGAGAAAAGTTGAACTGTCGAATGTTCATCACGTTGTTTTCATACTTCAGAATAGCAGCTGTAAAAATGTGTAAGAAAACATGGTTTGATCAATATTCACACTTACTTGCAACAGGTGACAGGGACACACGAATAATAACATTGTTTTTTATGGATGCTTCAAACTTTTCTTCCCTTCAAAAGACTCATTCATAAAGATGTACAAATTATAAAAAAATACAGATAGATGATACCTATGATAATAATAATATCTGCTCAAATACCAGAAACATGTTTTCAAAACTGTTGTTTGTATCTGAGGACAACCGACAAGAAAAACAGCCACCAGCTACCCACAGAAAGTCATAGAGATCAAGTGGCGGGGGAGGGGGAGTAAACACTGAAGTACTAATGCACACCAAGTTTCCGTGTATTAGGGCTACATTGAGCTTTTAAAAATCAGTTAGCTGGGATATACAAGAATGGTTGCATTCTCAAAAAATGTTCATACAGGAAATGATTCAATGGAAAAGGTCCAAGATTCAAAGGTACGGAGAGCGGAAGGCATCAATAGAGAATATTTCTACCAGTCATGGTCAGTCGCCACAAGTAAAGGCGTCTATCCTTAAAATTTTTGTGACTGGCAGTGCTCCGTTCATGTTCAAAAACAAATGTTTGCAGCCTAAAACCGGAAAAAGACAACTCAACAATCAGACGTATGTGTGAATAAGTATGTTGAAACATCTTCTTCACTTCCTCAGTTACCTCACCAAAGGGATGAGGGGAGATGTCAGGAACTTGTGTGTGTACTTTCTAATGTGTAAGGTGATCTTCACTCTTTAACGCTGGTCTTGATGCTTTCGTTCCAGATTTGCATAGTCTTTCTTGTGCTCTGTGAGACAGCCGAACCATATCTTTTGTTGCTCTTTAAAGAATTATTTGACTGGTTTTAGTCCTAGTCTTCTTCTAATTTCTTCCTTACTGACTTCATCTTTTCTTGATACTCCAGTAGCTTTTCAAAGTTATCTCTGCTGTTATGACTTTGTGCATTAGTTATAATAAAGTTCCATGTTGACACAAGTGATACACATATCAGATCATTAGGATTCCCTGCATGTACAGACACCAATGATTATAATTCCTGAATGCTCATACAAACCAATTTATTATCAAGCGTATGGGTCTGAGAGATGGCAAGCAGTTAGTATTTTTTTTAAATTAAAAAAAACAAGGTAAAGTTGGGAGATGTGAACCAGCATCATTGCACTCAGTTATAAACCATAAGTGCTCTGCCACCAGTATGGACAGCTGGTAAGAAACTTTCCGCTTGTGTCGCCTTCTGCATGAAACTCCGTAGGTACAGCGACGTTCCTCTATTTACCTCTATTACCCATTACCTAGAGGCTGGGGGAATCCCGGGAACCGCCCGGTTTCGAACACCGACCCTGGGCTGCAGCAAGTCGCAGCTGGATTTGACAGTGTGTCTCCTATCGACTGTGCTGATGCGGCCCCCTAACATTATAACAAAGGTGTAACAAAAAGTTAAAACAATTCAGGACTATTAACTACTCCATGCAAGTTACTGACACTATGAACAAGGTTCATGATGAGCACCTGACTTATGTATCCATCTATATCCTGCATTTATTCTCAGAGAAACTATTAATAGAGTTTTTTCCAATTTTCCAAACCGAACAGAGTACTAATTCAAATCCTATTCAGGCAGGAATAATTCTTAATTTATCAATACTTTTTACATTCACATTTCTCTTATCTTCAAAATCCTTATCAATTTGAAGGACACAACTTATCAAAAACAGGCTTTCGAATCCACACAATTTCCTCAACTGAAAATGTAAAGGTTGTTGTTTGGCTATACCAGACCCCAACGGTCAAATTAAATCAGAATGTTTCAAATGAGAGAAACATCCATATGTGAGGCCTAAATTTTTGTCTCTTATTTATATATCTTTTATTTCTTGATTTCTTTGTCATCCTGTATGATGACTAGTTTTCAAATGACATGTACAAATGCAAACATGTGTAGCTGTAATAAGATGCAAACTGGTTACACAAACCTTTGTTATTGTACACATCTAGATAGTTTGGAGCTGAGAATATTGTTATCAATGATGGGAAACCGGTAGTTTGGCTTTTTCTGTACATCCTATACCTGAAATAATATTTGAGGGCATACATTTAGCCGAATTTTTTTTTCATTACATACATCTAGTCTCAGCCTAAATATTACATAGTTTAAATACATAATTTATAATAGGCATGAAACACTTAAAGAACATTTCACTTTATCCTAAGAAATTAAGTGTTAAATAGTCAGCTTTGGCTTTGTTTGAATAACAATACTAAACTTATGTGAACAAAATCAGACTGCTAAGACTTCAGCTGCATAAGATGAGGGTCAGCATTTGAGACATAACACAACATTTCTAGTGACTGACAGTGACAACATTACCGCTGCTCATGAGCTCATCATCTTATTTCTATTCCCATTCCCTTGTGAAACGTCTAGCTGATGGTTTTGAATAAATAATGAGTGTCTTTGTTAGATAACGATATTCATAACCTTTATTAAATCACTGTCTTGACTCAAATATGATTTTTTAAAGTTGTGACCTATATATATATATATATATATATATATATATATATATATATATATATATATATATATATATATATATATATATATATATATATATATATATATATATATATATATATATATATATATATATATATATATATATATATATATATATATATATATATATATATATATATATATATATATATATATATATATATATCCAAGAGGCAAATGAAACACATTAGGTTCTAGACAGAACTATGACAATAAATGTATGCTTACCCTGCATCTTGAGCTTCGTGTGCTCGTATGAGAGACAGTAAGTTGTTTTGCTGTAAGAAATCACAACATGCTGCATAGCTGTAACACAAGATGCCAACCAATTAGGACAAAAGATGCAAACTGTTTGAATACAATTTTCAGTTATAAACTATAATTAAACACCCATTTCATAGTTACTGTCTACAGCCAGGATTACAATGATACCACATTTTACGTTTCCTGGCCCAAGATGAGTGACTTCTCTTGCCATTCATATATCGCAATGTCAAAGAGCTTGTCCTATGTTGCTGGGGTGTCGCACTTTGTCACCGACCAGTGAAACGGTCGCAAAACATGCAGAACTGGCCCTAACCCCAACCCCCTAATTCCTACGAGAGAGTGCAGCATACGTCCCACGAGAGAGTGCAGCCTAGGCGGCACAACAGCATGCAGCCTACAATATAATCAGTGACACCCAAGCAACATAGGACAAGCCCTGTGACATGGCAATTTATGAATGGCAAGGGAAGTCACTCTCATCCTGGGCTGGGAAAGGTAACATGCACTACTACCAGAAATGTAATTCAATGGCAGGGACAGAGCAGATCAATGATCTGACTTCACTGACAATATTCTCTTTGTTCAACTCATAAAATCAATTGCAAGGTAAATTGGTAAAGACCAAGTTTAGTAACATAAGAAGAGACAGAGAATGGAGACCTTGCGGAACTGACTTTCACTGTGAATAACACAACTGACATAATCTCGGTATATACTGCTTACAAGAATAATCATAGTTAACATCTGCACTAATGTAGTGAAATCTACACAGTAAACAGCATGAGATTATTTGAGACAGATACGAAACATGATTCAGTAAACAATGGCACTCACCTATAGAAATATGAGCAACCTCTGACAGTATTGTGGGTGAAGTGTTCTGACGACTTCTCATTTCCAAAGTCTTCCAGCGGATCAGACCATAACAAATCACACATTGGACCAAATGCTGGTGGTTCTTTGAATCTGTCCAGCTTCACACAGAAATCAATCATACACATTCATTCATTAATATGCGACTGTAATTTTCAGCTAACTAAAATAAACAGAGGTAAATACCTGAATGACTCAAGCAAACGTAAAGGAGCTTTTCCACCTCTTCAGGCTTATTGGGGGTATAGGGCTAGACCTCTATTTTATAAACCAAACAGCCCATGGTGAGTGATCTGGCCAGCATCAGATTGACTGCCTTAACTTCCCAGGATATAAGTTTAATTTTCAATATAGTAACCACATTATTTATAAGTGAATTTAGCAGCGAACTGATCCATTATTATTTTTACCAATACAGTTAGTGATAAGTAAAATGACTTTGATACTTCAGATACAAATTATCAAGAGTTCAACACAGTTTTTACAGAAAAGTTTGTGAATATTAGCTTCTACAGTGTTCCAATAACCTCAGACAATTGGTCTGAGAGAGGGCTCAGGCGATGAACTGGATTCCATCTATGATATCCAGAGGACTGTATATCCCAGAAACGCATGGAGGACTAGACTGTGAGCCCTAGGTGGCACAACACAATGATGAGAATGATATGCCAATAAAATGACTTGTAAATGTAAAATTCATTTTTAATATGCTTCATTTTTATCTGAATAGTTAGTTACATTTGTTCTGCTGAAAAAAAAAAAATATATTTTAAATATAACTATTTCCTGCATTCAACTTGTATAAAAATTTTACAAATACAAAATTCGGTTTTATTTAAATATTGTACGCTTTTAGTCATAAAACTATAAGTATTGATCTATTACTAACAAAATATAGGATGCCATATAAAGTATCTATCAGCCAGTCTGTAATTTGCATCCAAAAACTCAAAAAAGGGCCAAACATGATGACCACTTGTTCCCCATTTAGAAAGATGACAAACTAATTTAAAACTATTAGAACTTAGGATAAATAAAACAATGACATACTGCCTGTGAAATGTCCCAGTTTAGATAGAAGCTGACATTTCTACAGCAGAGCAAATTGTGCACATCATGTTGGTCAAAAAATGCATGATTCTCTGTGTGCGTTCCCAGGACCCCATTTTTGGGGAAGAGAACAGATCCACTGCCCCCTTAACAAGCATGTCTAAGAAGTCGACTAATTAAGGGTGTTTCCTACAAAGTCAGAGTGCATCTGCTTGAGATGAGGAACTAACAGATGCTCACAACCAAGGTAGAACTGTAAAACGGATGTGCATGCAAAACTCATATTCTGGAACATGACCAAAGTCCAGGAGTGGACGAATAACTATAACTTTCTGCTGGAGTTTACAGCTGGTGAACACCAAAAAACAAAAACAAAAATTCATGTTTACCTTTCTGATATCATCTAAAGTGTGAATTTCTGGTGAAAGTCCTCCATGAACACAAAGAAACTGTTGGTTCATTAATGCTGCAAGAGGCAGACAGTCAAAGGCTTCCATGCAAGCATCATATACTCTGTCCGAGTATTTAATTTTACCTAGAGAATAAATATAAGTGATGTCAATAAATGTAACCTACCATGCAGCATACATAACAAAGTTATGTGAACAAGAATCTCTCAAACACTTACTTGGTTTTTCTTCGCCACTCACACTTACAGTCATATATTTTATGGCTTCAAAAATCTAATAAACAAAAGCAAAAACTTCTTTACAAATTTAGGGCACACAGGAGTAGGACAGAGCAATACAGAAAATAAGCATTAGAAGAAATTGTAAATTTGCTGCTGATATCCTAATTTAAAAGGGTGAGGAAATCGGGGAAAAATTATCTAGACAGCTTCAGGTAGCAATACATAAGGTAGGTGGTAGATGCACAGTGACAAAGTCTATCTTTAACCCAGATATTGTCAATATTGTGGTGTTCATTACTGAATAAAAAAAAGTTAATGGTAAGATCCCAATCATAGTAATAAATGACAGGCGCATCATTTCTGGGCAATGCGGGGATGTGCAAATTGTATGCATGCAGTAAATACTTGGGTGCCCTTCAAATATGAAAGATACTACATGCAAACTGAAGTAAATATATATAGAGTGGTCTATACTCTTTGGGTTCAAGTGCAAATAAATAGACAGAATATCCATATGTTCTTCTTCTTATAGCCTATGCTGTGAGGCATTGGTAGTGATGTATATCCACAGATTTTTATCTCTTGCACTTTCAATCATTTCTGACACAGATGATCTCCCATGCCATGATGCCAAAATGTTCAGCATCTGCTCTTAGTCTCCCTCTTCCTCTTTCTCACTAACTTCTCTCCATCAATGATGCACTCCAGTTTTCTCCTTTTGAGTTAAGTCAAGAATTTACAAAACAGCACTCAGGCATTTCCATGCATGCTCTGTCCTCATCTTCAGCAGCCAGCACAGAGATCCAATACTGATAGTACCAGTCACAATCTGGTTAAATGTCTGTCTCGCCTTTCCTCTGAGTGTAGTGAGCCGACCAAACCCTCTGGTTACACCCAGGTGCCTCATTCTCTCCAGGCCATAATAATCTTGTTTCTCCACAGATTTCATTGCTTGTTCCCAAAGGACCTTGACCACATTTGCCTTGTCATGTATTAATTCACCACCCAGTGGTGTGGATCCAAACTGTCTGCCTGTTCACCCTGCCGGCAGTGGGTTCCGGGGCCCTATTATAGGGAAAACAAGAATAGACCCACTGCCTACCCAAAAGCATGTTGTAAGAGTCGACTAATTGGAAGCTTCCTTTGAAGTCGGAGTGCATCTGCCTGAGAGGCAAAGCACCAACAGTCTGCATACCAATGAGTCAGATCTGTAAAACGGATGCACAAGCAACACTCAGGTTCTGGAACAAGACTGTAGTCCAGAAGTGGACGAACAACCAGAACTTTCTGCAGGAGTTTACAGCTGGTGAATGCGAAGAAGAAGATATCCAAAGTATGCTCACTACCTGTGACATTTCTAGTGAAGCTTGCCACTGTGTTCCAAGCATTACTGTCTTTACCCTTTTCAGCATGCTTTCAGTCTGTTACAATTATGACATGTGTATGCATCTTGTTCTTTAGACACCGGAGAGCTGCCTCCACCTCCAGTCTCATGCTAGCTGTTATGGTGTCATATGCTGGGGCATAAACGAGGACCTCCAGGACTAAAGGTGGACACTATGCCTCAAGACCACTCAGCCCCCTTTCTTTGTAATTACCAACGCCTCCATTTTTCTGCTGTTTATGATCTTTGTTCTGACATTCTATTTAATGGCGTCCCTAATTACTTGCCACTGTATTTCATTCTCAGCGATCAAAACTATATTGTTAGCATATCACAGGTTTGTTACTTAATACCCTTCACTAATATTCCTGGCATGCCATGTATGTATCATATTACTGTTTCACTGTAAAATCTGAATGAACATGGTGAAGAGTTTACACCTGGATACATAGTCTTATGGCTTCTTCTTCATGCAATTATCAGGTTCTTTCACTACTAATCTCAGATCTTTGCCATCAATGTGTAAGGTTTCCATATGTGTCAAGACTAATTCTCTGGGGTGTGAGCAACTCATCTTGATGACACTAGGCAGAAAGAAAAAAAAAACAGCATAGAAACTCTTCAATGGCTACACAGAAGAAATGGAGCAAATGCAAATGTCATGATTACAATTCATTCAATCATTATGTATGTGAATAAATGTCTGTCGCCAGTTCATAAATATAGCTCTTCAAATAACTATGCTCGTACAGTTTCAGCACTTTACCAAGTCACACAATCCTTAAACACAAAGCAAACTTACACTCTTGTTTAAATGTGAAATACTCTGTAAGGTGTCTACACTCATGATTGCCACGTAACAGGAAGAATGTCGCCGGATGCAATATTTTTAAAGTCCACAAGTAAAGAACACACTGAAATAAAAGAAGAAAGCAAACAACTGCTTCAAATTACCGTATGAGAAGTCTAATTAAATGTAACAGTTGTGTAGACACAAACAAACAAATTCTGCACGGAAACCACATTTTGTTTCCAAGTTTAGGATTGAGGCAAGGATGCCAATTATCACCAGGACTCATCAACGTTGACACAGAGAAGATGGCTGATGAAGTGACTAGAAAACATTACAATGGTGAGACAATGTGTGCCTTATTTGTAGATGAAAAAGATCCACAAAAGGAAAAAAGAAAAATCATTTTACAACAGCTACCACAAAATAAAATTTACTGACAAAAATAAGTTATTGTCACGAAAATGAAAGTTAGTAAGGCAAAGGTGCTGGTAGTTGCCAAATAAATCAAAAATTAAAATCACGGAACAGGGGGTGGTGGAGGGAGAAACAGTGAAACCTCAAAAGTTATATAGAATCGCAATATGCAGTAATGTGTTTCAACAGAAAGAATACCAATATGTAAAGAAGAAACATTTACAAATGGTGATATGTAATATTTTACACATTAGAAAAGTTAAAGAGATTGTGTATGACAATCTTTTTTATTTGGTGACATCTAGTCTTGGCAAATATAAATCTAGTTTTGACAGAAATAAGTTTTTCCCCCAATCTTCTTACGACACAGAAAAGTCTTTAAAGACCTATTACAAAATTCTATTAAAAATAAATGCCTTCTTATAATTCTCTGAAACTCTTAAGTAATAGAGGGAGAGAAGAAGAAGCAGAAGACAGTTGCAGTCTTGTGCAGATTTTATTAAAACAAATTTAGGGGGTCAAAACCATAGCCCGCGGAGCAGACAGACTTCTTTCTTCTTTTAATTCACTGACTGAATTCTGACAAAAGTCCTGTCTGGTAGTCCAGTTGAAATTTAGCTTTGTACCAGAGGATGTAAGCTGACAGAATTTTACCCTGAGAAACCACCCACAGGAGATGTTACTCGCCTAAGCTGTGAGCAATTCTCTTGGTCTAGGGTTGAGTCTCCGCATTTCAGTTTCACTCATCAGACTTTTAACCCTTTGAAAACAGAGCCTTTTTGGAGTTTCAGTGCCAAAAAGATGAAGCCTTCAGGGGATGATTCTCTTAGTTTACACACACTAAAATTATAAAAAAGCCCATAATTAACGTTTATAAAACTATATATATTCAGGTAGGAAATTGAATGAACTAACAGCATATGTGTGAATCAAATTGAAATAACTATTATGATCTGCATAATTTATGCAAGTATTTATTTTTAAACTTGGGAATAAACATGACACTGGAAAAATTTGGGTGAATTTTTTTAAATGGATTTAATGGATAAAGGTTGGATAAGCCCTAAAACGTTTTTGGGGGAAATACGGTCTACAGAGGCGGTTCAGACACTTCTGGCATATGTTTCTACTCATTTTCATGCCTTCTGCTATGTTTCGGTTGCTATAATGCAACAAGCCTTTTCGCCATTGTTGGGCACAGGTATACACACACACAAATCACTGTAAAATTACAGAACATGTCAATTTTCCCCTAAAGCTGTCATTAAACAGCCTACATGTGCAAGAAATGTGAGAAGCAATCTAACTGGCTGATTAAAAAACCTGCCTGCCAATCTCAAGGCTTGTATTATACAGGGCCGATCAATTGACCCAGTCGTCCTTTTGGCTACTTTGTGTTGGGCAGATATTTTGGCTGCGTCGTCTCCAGAGGGTTAGGGTTCCTCCGGCAAGCGGACTTTACTCATGTTCTATAAGAGTTTTGATAGACGTTTTGTTTTCACTCATGCACTGGGGGTAGGTTGATGAGAGCCAGACTGAATCCTACATATCTGAGGGTCACCAGCTACGAGATCCCCTGCCCGCTCTGTTAATGCTCATTTGAGACATCAATGGCACACAAAAGGGGACTTGCATGAGGTTCCATAAAGCCAGCACAGAGAAAGGCTGGTGCCCCAGGTCAGGTATGGATTAACTCCTTATACACATCACATCAGACCACACTTGTGACTGAAATCATTGTGACACGAGCACAAGTATGAAGTCCACAGCTACATCACTAAAATAATTCATCCTTTTTTTTTGGTATTTTGTGCAAATTTTTTTAAAAAACTAAATATAAATGAAGCAAAGAATTTGCTTCTTTCCTCCCCTTTCACCATGATAAACATGGTTCTGTTACTTTCATGTTTTTAAGAAGCTGTTTTTGAGTTCATCTTCTACATGCCTGCCCTGCAACTGTAGTATTTGTTTCTGTAACATTTATTTTTACAGTTCTGTAGAAGCTTTGTATATGTGGAGAATTATGTTGTAAACACAATCCTTGCATAGCTGATTTAGCAAACCATTCATTCCAGAAATTGGCAAGACATTTTACCTATTTGTTCCCAATCAAAAGCCAGTAATGCAAGTGATGCAAGTTGAATATTACATTGCATTTTACAGTCGAGTCCACATAGTTGGAGTCATTTTCCTTCATCATTATCATTGTATGAAATGTCCTGTTAAGTCGAATTCGGTTAACTCGAATCTAAAAATTAAAACCGACTATTTACATGTTGGTGTTTTAAGTCGAACTGTTCATTATAACGTGCCCGCTCATTATGGTATGCATTGGAAGAGCGAGCGAAGGGTGAGCAGTTCAAAATGGAACTATTGCAGCCCGTGGAAACACGCAGACAGGTGTGCGAGCAGTTGCCTCATGTGCGGTTGTGTTTACGTTCACACTAGGACAAGTTGGGGAATGGCAAAGTGACACCAGTTAGATTTCCCAGTTCTATTTTTGGTGCCGCACATATTTCCAAAGTGTTTGACAATCCCTTATTTAACTCCCAATTCCCCTCATATCTTCCCTCTTCTAACTCTCATCCCTTTTTTTCTCCGTTCTTCCTTCCCCTTCATTCTCTATCCTTACTGTGTTCTCTCGTTCTCTTCCCCTAAGCCTTTCTCTTTATCTCTTCTTCCTGTCTGCTCTCTCTGCCTCCCCTCTATTGTCTTCATCTCCTTCTCTCTTTTTCCTTATGCTCTTCTCATTCTCCTCCCTGATATTAGTGTAAATTCTCTCTTGTGTGTGCTTCTGGATAAGTAGAATTCCTGATCGGTTGAACAATTTCCTTAGCTTCCTGTGACTTCTACTTATCCAGACTCCACTGTACAACTACTCTATGATGAGCTCATATGTATGCTCTGTAATTATACTGTATTGTTTTCATATAACAGAATAAATACAAACAAAATACACACCTCTATGCTAAAATAACCTCTGTCTACGTAATCTCCCAGAAACAGGTATCGTGTGGTTCCTGGAGGACCACCAACTTCAAACAACTTCATCAAATCAAAAAACTGTCCATGGATATCGCCACAAACTAGAAGAAAGAGATGGAAAATATTCAAGTCGCATAATGACAGGATCATACTTATAAGCAGCCAATATTTCAAAGCTACATGAATTGTTAGCTGCAAAGTTTTGGGTTCGAATCCACACCTGGACTTTCATCCCCCGATTCTTTCATAATTGACCTTGGCCCTTAAGTGGACCTAGGTTAAAACTGGTAATAGAATTTAGGATTTATCCTGGGAAGTGATGGCATCCAAATACTGACTACATCACCAAATGAGGGCTGATTGGTCTACAGAAAATATGGGTCTAGCATCATATGCCCAATGTGCCAGCTGCATATCTGAGGCAGCTACAGCTTCCAGCACTGTTGTGTACTTTCAGCTTCATCATACAGTTCTAGGTTTACAACAGCAACAATGTGATTGCTGAATGTCTTCACAACCTCTGCCTTTCCTCAGTTGTGGTACAATAATTGTCAAAGCTGCGCCCATAAACCACTTGCAAATTCTAACCAATGCTATATAGGCAGAGGTAATCCTACAAATGAGCATTACCTTTTTTTTAAATAAATAAAATGCAGCACATGTTAAGTATAGCCTGGTTACAGCATAGAAATAAAGCCAACTACATTTCTAACAATGGCTGAATATTCAAGAATCTGCACTCATTTAGTGTTTAAAAACTGTTCATGTTTAACTGATTTTTGACTAGCTTCACAACGGAAACAATATCACATTGCAAAAGGGAAGTCCTTTTTTTTCACTTTACTATAAAACAATGTTTAACAGTTGTTGCATATCCTGTGCATTTTCAGCTATCAAAAGGAGGAGGTTAGTTGCGTATCCTTTACAGGACGTTGCAGAACCAACCCCAGCAGCCCCTGGCTGTTATGTGGTTTCTCTAGGCAAATTTGCGTCCAGTAGTTTGCCATTGCTTTCTGAACGGTTGGCACCCTCCAAAATTAAAACCGTTATGAGGTGTAAAGGAAAAATTAAAGATCTGGCCACCAGCACCAATTAAACCTGATTGTAACAAGGAGGCAGCACCTCAACTATATAATAAAACGCACTACTTGAATAATTCAGGAAGCCAGTGTGAAATGTCAATATAAGTGTTTACAAGTTTACACACATGTGTGAGAAACAGTAACTGATTGACAGCTACAGAGAAAGGTAACTGTAGTGTAAAGATACCTTAAGGGTGTGGCTAAAAGCCTCTCCTGAAGGAAAGAGTTTGATTCAGATGCTAACTGAGATAAGGGTAAAGATTAATACAGTGAGGAGTCTCATCTCAATTCAGGCTGCTTGAAACAGTTTTTTGTGAATATTTAGCTATCTCAGGGAATTGAAAAACCATTTCTATTTCTTAAATGTTAGTATTATATGTTTTTTTAGTGTATCTTTTCATGTTTATAAAATAAGACTTGAATACTGATATTTATTAGAATGAAATGTAATGAAATCATGTTTCAAACATCAACAAAACCATGTGCATTGATTGTCGGATAGTATGCCCACATGTGCAGTCATGTGGTTTTGATTCTGATAGCCCACTATGGACTCAATGAAATGTGTTTATCTAACCAGGAGACTGACAACCCAGGGAAAAAACTATGAGTGTATGATTAACCTAATAGTGCTCTTGATAGAGTTCATAAACGAACGTTACATCTCCCCCCTGACACTTCGCTGAGGTACAAGGTGGAAAAGAAGAAGAAGAAAATATGCTCCTTTCACGAAGTTGATAATTTCACGTGGGACGCCATAGTGCCCCATCAATTTCCAGAGAGATTTTATATCAAAGCTGCCAAGGCTTTTTCATGGTCTATAATATAAATCCAATTTAAAATGATGAGTTCAATTCAATGCTTTGCTCTATTAGTATGCGTAATGCCGCTGTGTGGTCAATACAGGATCTGTTTGGCCAAAAATCTGCCCAATCATCTCTTAGCTTTTTATCAATAGCATCTTTTAGTCTCTCCAGAATATACCTACTTAATATTTTTCCAGAAACTTTCAGAACCACATTTTCTCATTAGTTCTCACACTCCTGCCCATAGTGTCTTGCAAGGTAATAATTCAATAGCCACTGATTCTGGAATTGCCTTTATCTGGTTTTTACAGAGGTAGTAAGTAGCTGTGTAGACGATCCTCTTTCATCGGACCACCCTTGATGCTGACATCTGTTAAGTCATCCTCTGACATCGAGACCTGAGGAAGTGCTGGACGATTTCTTGAGTGTTTTCCGTATGGTCTCAGTCATGATAATGAAATCATAACTCGGCTCTGCCTTCTCATGCAACTCAAAAAGTGTAATTTTAATTCTCAGTCTGGCTGTCCCATCTTTCTGGTCAGTCTCTTCTAAGTAGTGTTGATGGAGGCCCTGTCCTTTATCCGTATCATATTTCTGCCATGTCAGATCTGTACTGAATGTCTGGGATACCCCAACATCGTGTGGTGCTGTTCATCACCCAATAAAGCTACTAAAATGTTGCAAGAGACCCTTCATCTTCTTACAGTAAACGTCACATTACTCATTCTTGACCTGTCCTGCACATAGCTTTAAGTCTTGTTGACTTTATCCTTCAGGTCAGCCAGGAGCTCACAATGTGACGAGCTACTCTTCCTAGCCTTTTGCCCCACCTTGACAGCCTGTCTCTTCCAATAATGCCATCCCAACCTCTTCCTCCCACCATGGAGTCCATTTTTGTCACTGTCTGCTGTGGGGTGAAGTAGTAGGGAGTATTAATTTCAAGGATTAACCTTGCTGATGGCATCCTGTCCTGAGCTGTCATAATGGAAAGCATTTATTTTGTTTCTTCAAAAGCTTTTTCTGCTCTTCTCGAACAAGGCAACTCAAAGTAGGTGGTCACCTAATGCACCCCAATGTACTCATGCTACAAACAGGGGGGATAGTGGGCGACACTACAGTAAAGTTAATCCCACTTTCCGAGTAACCTAATTCGAGTGGCTAATCTAGTGACTTGGCCGTTGTTTAAACATATCAGTTCAGCGCGAGCAGGGATTCCTCGAGATCTTCCCACTTTTATACTGGTGATGACATTGTCAAACTGGCTGCCTCTGACAATGAAGTCCCCCCAAAAAATTGTTTCTTTTCCTTTGCGTAAACAAACGCTGCCACTGCAGCTTGTTGACCGTCAATATGTGTAAACACTGAACTGGGTGGGATCCAGCACGCCCACTGCATGTACCTGCACAACATCGCTGTTCCATTCAGACATGTCAACCTCGGACACCACTATAGTGGCGAGAACCATAATGGTCTGCCCAAAATGCCACTGATTGTGGAAGCACAGAAAATCTACAGCTTTGACTGTCTCATCGCTAGACGCATTTTCTGCAAGACTTCAAATGTCTCTGCCACAAAGGAGCTCTTCAAAAATGACGTGCCTTTTATTTGGTTTGATTCAAGAACCAACATCACAGCACTCGGGGCAATCCCATAAACGCTCCGTCCCCATCTTCAGCAGCCAGCGCAGAGTTCCGATTCTAATAGTGCCAGTAGCATTCTTAATAAACGTCCGTCTTGCCTTTCCGCTGAGCCTTGATCATCTGCCAGAACCCTTTCATAACTCCCCCCTTGCATCAATCTCACCAGACTGGTGATCCATCTGCTCCTCCGAACTGCACATGCTCTCCCACAAGGCACTAACCACGTCTGCCTTATTATGCATCAGTATTCTACCAAGTTGTGCAGAGCCAGCCAGTCTGTCCACCTGTTCATTTTCCAACACACTGGTGTGCCCCGGTGAAAAAAATCCAGATAATACTCCTCACCTGTGTCCTTCGCAGCGAGACATGCCTCTCTGCAGGAAGCATGCCTGTCCTGATCTTCCTCAGCATGCTTTCTGAGTCAGTTACAATCACAATGTGTGTGACCGCCTCCACCTCCATTCTTAAGCTGAATGTTGTGACATCATATGCTAGGCTCTCCTGCACCAAACGTCGACCATTACCTTTTGCTAAGAAACCCCAAGCACTTCTTTTGCATCTTGACACTGAACCGTCTGTGTAAATGATCAAATCCTCTGAGGGAGCATTATCTTGAATTAATTGCAGAATTTCCACCTCTGTAGCACCTGCCAGTCTCTGCATTCCCAGCTCAGTGTGATTATGACCCTACACAAGTCAGAGACTGTTCAGGTGGTACTTTGACCCACTCCTCTCCTCACCTAATGTTCTCAAGGATGCAAACCTGTCTGTGTCTTCTGCCTGAGCCATCCTTGACTTCCCTCTTATCAGCCGCTGACCCTTAACTGCACCCAGAGCTTTATGCAAAGGGTGGTCTGTGTCTGCAAATACCCTGAGATATGACTTTGCCTGCAGCACTTTGTGCCTACCTGCAACAGTCGGCAAACCAAGGATGTATCGCATACACACAACTGATGTGTCTCTGGTGCAACCTAGCATGACCTGCATAGCTGCGTTCTGGTTTGTCCATCTGACTCTTTGAGACGGTAAGCAGTTTCAGGCCACAATCAACCACTGACAGGATCAGGAGCTGATATAGTGTGAAAAGCATTCTCTGCTCTATGTCAATTGCAGAAATAGTCTTAAGTGCACTAAGTCCTTTTTGGCATCTTGTCTCAACACTCTCTAAACAGGGTCCTTAAAGGACAGGCTCTTGTCAAATGTAACTCCGATACTTCAGTTTGCTCTCTCTGTTGACATTTCTACCATCTATCGTAAGACTTAGGACATTAGCTTTAACGATCCTGTTGTCCAGAGATCACCACAAAACAGACGCCTTTTCTGGGTGGGCGACAGCCCTCATTTCTGTTTGTTTCCTCTCTTCCCCCTGCCTATATGCAAGTATATCATCCGCAAAAGTCAGTATCCTTTCAACTCCTGGTGCTTCTATGCTTGCAATCTTGCTCATATACACGTTAAAGAGCACAGGGAAGATGGTGGATCCCTGTGGCAGTCCTGTGGCCAAACTGCATGGTTCTAAAGTCCATGAGCCCAGTCGGAGAGCAACCCGACGTGAATACAGGACAGCTGCAACCCAATTCACCAGCCATGGACTGACCTCCTTCTTCAGTGCAGTCATCAAAATGTCATATCTTACTCTGTTATAAGCATCCTCGAGATCCAGTGCTAACGCCAGGTTTCCTGTCTGTTCTGGAACCCTTCATAGACGTCAAAAGCAAAAGTGGCTGCATTTGCCCATGTGTCCTTCCCTGGCCTCTAGCTTCCCAGAACTCTTGGGAGAAGCTTCCCCCTTTCTAAAAATTCCTTTGATCCTTTGATTAAATGAAGAACAGTTCCAGTATACATTACCATATTTTAGGCTCATCTTGTAACATTTGAAACATTTCAGGCATTCAATAGCACAACTGCCCGCCTCTGTTCTTTTCACTTGTTGTCTGGTTGCCATGTATGCAATTTTACGACAGGATGCTGATGAAACACTGACAATGGACTGGACACTTCTGCACGAACTCTAGCACAAACCAAAATCCTGTTCCGCTTCAAATCTCAGACTGAAAATACATATCTGGCAAAAGAACACCCTTCATCCCAACAGACGAAAAAGTGACACACCATGCTGTTTGTTTATACCAGAAAGATGGTTTTTGTGATAATTAAAAAACCATACTGTATGTATTTATATAAAACACCCACCCTACCCAAACGAATTTTAGATGTAACTGTTTCAACAATTTTTTTTTTAAAGTCAAGGGCCCATTTCTGGCTAGTGTTTCAGTGGGTATATAGTGCGAGGCTCATTTTTATAGATCAATAGGCACTTGATGTGGTAACATCATGCTGTTAGCTTTCACTTCCCATGACATTTCTTGGCACCATTTCTGGCCAGGTCAACATGGGAGCCAAAGTAAGTTTTTTTTAAATATATATATTTCTAACCCAAAACTTCGGTCTAACAGGCAAGCAGCCTAACCAATGCCATAATATGACAATACCAAATAACTTAAATTGTAACATTTTACCAAATAAAAGGAATGTTTATATCATCTGCCAAGAAAAGCAATATAGAAGAAGAAACAAGAAACACCTGGCAGACAAAAACAGGTAAACCAGCATCTGCAGACAGTAGCCACAGTGACACACAGATTTATGTGCTTGCCTGCCAGAACAGACATCTGGGTTTGTTCCTCAAAAGAGACCAAATTATTGTTTCTATGGAGCTGACCCAGCCTCATAAACTGGATATGGGACAAAGTACACAACTGTCTGGGGAGAAATGGTGACAAGGAAGGGAGCTTTCACCCTGTACTAGAATATGTGATCAGTCTAAAATTTCACACCCCAACAATAGTAGAGTAATAGGCTTACCTTTATCTGTACGCAAACATCATTTCCATTTATAATGAGATAAATGTTTTATGTATCTTCAGATTACAAAATAGACACTTACCAGTAACAGGTGCCTCAACGTCAATCAGAGTTTTCTCCTGGCGCAAAAGTGCCGCACCTTCACTGATAATGCGGAGAGCAACATCTTCTGTGACCCTTCCTTCCAAAATAAAATGTTGCTTCAAAATGTCAGCTCTTGGTTTCCTGTTCGCATCAAATGCTTCACTCATAGTCACTTTATGACTTGGTGGGAATGGAACACCTGTGGAGATGAGTTACAAAACTAGAATAAATAAGCAAACATAGACAAGTGACACAATGAGAGATATCTCAATGAAAACAATTAGGCAAACGTAAGTCAGAAACAAGAAGAGAAGACCGTTTGACAAAAAGAAAATGTTGCTTCTTTATTACAAACGACAACATAAAAAAAAAACTATGCAGGTGTGTGACATGCATGACTGGTTACAGTGTTACTATTCTTTGCTTTACTTAAGGACCCCAGGAACAGAGGTACTTCTAAAGGATTAAATCATGTCAGTAACCATGAGTGGAAAATAGTCAGTATGCCTCATAACAGAAAGAATCATGCCTCCTTAAGTTTCCTGCTGGCTCTTATAAGAAAAATATCACTGACTCTTGCAGTTCACTACATTCATTGTATGTTGCTAACTGAATTTAAATAAATGTTAAATAAAGTGAAGATATCTGACATTTTTAAAACAAAGTGAGTGTAGTTCTCTATGCATGGTGTGAATACCATTCTCTCAATCTGCAAAAGCTGTTCACTCATCTATATCCCTTGGGATCATCAGTGGAGCTATGAATTTATGCTTTCTGGCCATCACTGGCAGATGGCCATGCACTCTGAAGAGAAAAGCCAACACAACTAGGATTACACCTGGTCATATCAAGTCAATATTCACAATTTTAACTCATTCACCCCAGTGACATAAAACAAGGTCAAAGATATGTATTAAAAAAATTCATTTAAGGGAATACATCTTTAAACACTACAAATTTCACACAGGTCCCATACAAATTCAAATTACTCCATTTATGGACCAAAACAAAAAAATATATAGAAAAAGAGGCGTATTCAGTAAACAAACTCATCAAAGAATGAACTGGCTTATCTCTCTTTGAACATAAGAAAAAAATTATATGATGATTCGTACCTGACCCCGCCTCCCAGTTAACACTAAAGCTAATGGGAAATAAAAACGTTTTAACTTCTCCATTTGAGCATTTTTTCAGAAGAAAACCCCAACTAAATACTATTTTCAGCAAATATAATAATTCGGGACAACCAAAGCGTTTGAGCAGGTGCAAACAATACTAGTGCTGTTAGCTATACCTCAGGTGTACTATCTTTTACAGCAAGTTTGTAGAAGGACACACACACAGGCACAGGGGATTGAACCCAACCAAAAGTGTATGGTTTTCAGCTTCTTGGGGCCACAGAGTGAAAACTGTCACCTTTTCAAATATAGCAAAACCACTTTGACTGGGACAGCCTTACTTGGTTATGCACTGCTGGAAATTTAAGATTCAACATACTATTTGCTTGTGGACTTGATGCTTTCTTGTTTATAACATTTAAGATCTCAATTCTCAGGTCTGTTTCTCAGCTGCTGGTCACTATTTCAGCCTTCTACAACTGTTCCTTTTAGGATGTGTTTCTGAGCTGGATATGGCTGTCACTTCTCCAGAAAACTGTCTTAATGTACATCAATATCATCTTCCAATATTGTGCTAGACATACTGTTCTTTTATATGTTCGCATTTTCTTATAGGATACAGATGAAATATGGTGGCAGAATTCCACCTTGTCAGACTCAACAGTTTTTCTGAACTCTCCAGATTTAAAATCTGATGTCTTAAAATAATTTAAACAAGTTCATAGAAACATGTCCCTGTGTGTGTTCTGAGGTCATCACAGGGGAATATGGGGCGAGGGGGGCCTCACTACCAATTAAAACAAGCATGGTGTGAAGGATGAGTAATTGCAGGTTTGCTGAAATCAGATATCATGGACTGAAAGGTGCAGTTATCACAGTCTAGCTGTACGCCACAACACAACAGCTGCTTTAACACTTTTCTGACCAGCAGTCCAGGCATTACGTTTTTTTTTAGAAAAATCTTTCCAAAATAACTAGTTCTCTAATAAAATTCATTTAAAAAAAACAAAAACTAGTGTGGGGTTTTAAAACCTTCACAGCGCCATTATGAATGGTTGCTACTAGGGCTGTACCGAATATTCACTTCGGGGCCAAATAGTGGACCTAATAACTATTCGGTATTTGGCCGAATACTCGCAGTCGGGCCGAATATGAATTGTGGTTACCTTACACCCGTTTTTTGCATACACTGCAATGGACTGATATAACACTCTCATTAACACAATAGTTGCTGTTGCCTAAGTCTGTCGTAGAGGGGGAATATCCGGTCAAAATGGATGCAGGGCATGGTCACTGTTTCGCGCCTTGGTAAATTTTTTGCTTCTGCCAGACGGTGGCCATTGCAATTTTGATCCTAGACTGAAAAGATATAGTTTCGTCGCGCCAGCTACTGAGTTGAGTGCATGGCGCGACCCTGTGAGCTGCGGATTTCATTTGTAATGTTTTTCGACTGACCAACGTGGTTTTGTGAACTATGGATTCAGAAAATGGTGCATGGCCTGTCGCCGCAATACTGGTGGTGCCCTTGTGTGATTAATATTGATCGCATGTGCAACTGCTGATGTGTTGATAGCTTTTGCTGCCGTCGATAATGAACTGCACTTCTAATGTCAGTTTGTGTTAGCACTTCTGATGGCTACCGTATGCTTTTAATGCTTGTGTATGCTAGTGCATATGCTGAGACAGCAGTCTGTCGATCTTTCCACAAGGGACTGTGACGAACATTCTATGTTTTTCGTTGGCACAGGAGCGGAGCAACTATGGGGTGACCCGTTTGCTATGAAGCTAAAACTAAGATTACCAAGAAGAGGGGGAACTGCGACCCGGTTGCATGGCCCAGCAGCTGGCAAGGTTTTTGCCTGCTGTCTCAACCGAGGCATTACAGCAGAGGTTCTTAAACTGGGTGCTTTGGCCAGGGGTGCCGGGGCAAAAATCAAGACAAGTCGGCTATAAATTGTGACATTATTAAAGAAGGCATAAAGATACTTAGAAGTTAAAATTTAAATTGTCTTTCCTCGCCACTATCGAAAAGAGTCTTTTTTCCTTTTTTCGCACTCAGAGTGTATCAGACTGCATAAAATGCCAACCGCAGCGTGCTAAAAATTGTCTTTTTATTTATCTCGAGGTGAGACCGATCCTTCATCTGTATTCGTGAAGGTGCAGGGAAAAAGTAAGATTGTGATTACATTTTGGCTGAAATTTTAAAGTGGAAAATGTGGTCTGCACAATAATAACTGTTAGCCTCGTCAAGTAAGCACTTATATTTAAAGGCAATGCGTAATTTTTTTTTGCTTGTAAGTGTGTGTGTGTGAAAGGGAGAGAGAGATCATGCATTTTTTCGTTCTTTCAGGGTATCTTTACCCAAATCAAATTCGAAGATATTGTTATTGAGAATATAAAGGTGCATGCATTTAAATTACATCGAACGAGCAAACAATGGTTTTGAAAGAGGTGGGAGCCCGAAGACAACTAATCACAGGCCTGAGAAGGAGACATCATTTTTCTACAATGTTATGAGAAGAACGAGAGAAGATTCTAGATAGTCTTGTTGCATGGCATGGAGGTGTGTCAGCACACACACTAATACATGCTGCAGGAGATCGCAGATTGAGGCGAGGCACAATCGCCCACGCCAGTCAGCAAGGCATCTGATGATGATACACTATTCGTATTCGTATTGGGCCAAATAGTGGATCCCGCTATTCGTATTCGGCAGAATAGTGAAAATCACTATTCAGTATAGCCCTAGTTGCTACACATGAAAAATAAAGATTTATTATGCAAATATGTCACATTATCATGGTGGCCATCTTGAATTTGTTTGGCTATTTATAGAAATTTCAGGTGATGTTATAAAACTATCATTTTTCCCAGTTCTTAGTGAATTTGTTAATGTCAGTGCAACAAAATGTTGGGGAAATGATTGGCAATGAATAAAATTAGCTAAATAGGAGCCATTATTTAACGACTGACCAAATACCTCAACTTTAAAAGCAAACAGAAATGTGAATAGAATAAAAATTTGTTTTTTATTAATGTGTTTATTTTTCATGTTACAATGAGCATCTGTGAATGCTTAAATACAAAAGCCCCTCTAGTTGAAGTCTGGGCTACTTTCTTCATTAACTAGAGTTGAAGCTGTAGCAGTAGGTCTTTGTTGGGAATGTTGATAATCCTCAATTGTGTGGTATAGCTTGAAACAGGGTGTCAAGCATAGAGGTGTATGGCAATCTGGGCAGTACATATAAGTCCAGCTTCTTCTAACTGCAGCCTTACACACTTTACAGTCTGGTTTGTACCTCCTTGGCTTTTATATTATTTTTGTTGTTGTTAATGGGGCTCAGTAAGTGGTGATGCTGTGATGTGTGGTCTTGAAGGTGTTACATTGTGCCGAAGAGCAGCAAGTCCAATATGAGCAAATCTGACATCCTGCCTGAACCTCTCTTTACTATGATCTTATACACAGAGTTGACAGTGTTGTAGCTTATATGCTCACTGACCAGAGCAGTGTCAACTAAAAATAAATAATATAATGGCAGGTACCATTTATAGAATCTAGGTGGGTAGGGGTAGTTTGCACCCAGCTGGCCGAAGTGATCAACACCCTCCATACTGTTGTATATTTATGCAAGAACTGGTTTATTTATTATTCTGCCATCAAGAATTCCACTTTTCCTAGCTGTCAAATAAAACAGGATGATCTGCCTTTTTCAGTTTCAGCTTCTTCTTCTTCAAATAATCAATTGGCGCACACCTAACTGAGTCTGACATGGCACCTTGCTGTTCTTCATATGGAGGAAGAATGTCAAGCTTAACAAGTTCATTCTGAGTGGCCTTTCTCCATTTAAAAACAGCATGTTCTGTTGCAGAAATGTTCTAGTCTCTTATGCGATGCCCACTTTATTCTTCAGATGTACCTTCATCACCTCCATCATCAAGTCTATCACCATTGTCGCTACTTTCAGCTGCGATATTACGATAATATTCACACGTGATTCGTGGCGCTGTGAGTTCTGTCACAGGCGTGAGGTAAAGTTAAACCCAACGTGATGTGTATAAGGAGATACTCCGTACGTCACTC